AATAAATAAATAAAATTTGAGCTTCGCTGAAGTTCTGTGATATTATAAAAATGCTGTAATACAGTACAAATTGTGAGAATAAGAAATAATTACTATTCAACACTAAATAATAAATATGGAGGTAGAATTAATTCCTTTTGTTTTTAATAACCCAAGTACCTATTTCTGAGGAAACAGTCTACAGATTTACTCCTGATGACAAATATGATCTCATAGTTATACAAATCAAAGTAAGAATGTTTTTATGAGGAAATTAGATTTGTGTAGTCTTAAAAGATTAACATTATATATTAAGATAACCAAATATATATAAATTAAATCTTATTTCATAATTATTTGAAGATATATAGTCTTGAAAATTAGCTCATTTTAATAAAGGAATAAATGATGATATAAAAGCTAAGATAAAAAATTTAACCTTTCATAATATTATGTGGAATTTGGAAACATGACTTTATGGAAATTATTTCCTTATTTATACGGCTTTATGCAGTCATAAATATGAAAAGCAAAACCCTAAAGATTGTTCAGTAGGTATTTTTCTGTTTTGTTTTATTATTATTATTATTATTAGTTTGCTTAATTATTCTTTTAGGAGACTTAAGGAGGCATAAATGTTATTCAACCCACTGATTATCAAAACTTTTACATTAAAAAATAGCACATTCCTTAGAAAAAATATTTCATAAAGGTCTAATACTTTATAAAGTATACAATTCTAGGTACTCTATTTGAGGTTGCAATTGGAAAGAGACACTTGTCCAGTTCTCCATTCATTCTTCCTATGTTTTCTCCATAGCTTCATAGAACAATATTTGAAAACCATTAACATTTTTCTTTAATTTACTATATAAAAGACATGAGATTCAGAATGAGTGACAAGACTAAAATGTATAACACATATATTTACAAATATATTTGTTTTTACTTTTTCTATAAAAAGAATTCTTTCATCTTGTTGATTTCTATCAATATTCAGTTATTAATAGAACTTCTGATAGTGATGGTAGGATATCTTGCTATTTTTAGAACATTTAAATGTAACCTAGTCTATGAAATGGTTGCTAGATCAGAAATAACACTCAAATTATCACAGGACCATGCAAGTTTGTCTTAAAGGTGTAAAGCCCAAACAGTGATAGGTTTTTCACTTTTTAAAGAAATATGTCCCTCCTCATTTCAAAAATAGTCTCTTTGTTTATCTGTTGTTTCTTCCATTTAATAGACACATTCTAAATACAATAATAAATGACCAATTAGTCTCATGGTAAAGGGATAGCTAAAAGTTGTGAAGCTAGAGAGCATGCCCCATGAAAAGATGGTGTAAGCTCTTTCTCATTAAGTTTGATTGGAGGCCTAGCTTTTGCCAGCTTCTCAAATATTTTCAAATTATACCAGAAATTTAGGCTTTAATAAGAAATCCAGTTTCAATATTTGCCAGTATATGTGCATCTATCAATGTGCAGGCCAATAATTATTATTAGAACACTACATGTCAATGAACCAAATATGGCCCATAAATCTCTGCTTTGAAATTTCTTCCC